ACACCTGTAATCCCAGATACTTGAGAGGTTAGGTGGAAGGATCAATTGATACCAGGAGTTTAAGACCAGCCTTGACAACAGAGACCTCATCTCTTAAAACTAAGAAAACAATACGTCTATTTTTTTTTTCTAAAAGATAGCCCCATAGCCTTAATTCTAGAGAATAGCTATAGTATTTCCTAAATCTCTTAGAACTGAGTTTTATTTTTGTCTTGTTTTCTGAAAGTCTCGCTGTCTCCCAGGCTGGAGTGCAGTGGTGCGATCTTGGCTTACTGCAACCTCCGCCTCCGGGGTTCAAGGAATTCCCCTGCCTCAGCCTTTTGAGTAGCTGGGATTACAGGCACACGCCACCACACCTGGCTAATTTTTTGTATTTTCAGTAGAGATGGAGTTTCACCGTGTTGGTCAGGCTGGTCCCAAACTCCCGACCTCAGGTGATCCACCCACCTCCATCTCCCAAAGTGCTGGGATTACAGGCATGAGCCACTGCACCTGGCAGAACTGAGTTTTTTTTAGTAGGTACAGTGATTTGAGTACTGTCTTTTGGAGGCTTTAGTAATTAGTTTTGCCCAAACTAATTGGGGAAAAAAGATCCAGCTGGATTGATTTATTCCCTTGTTCCAGACCCCATCCTTTGCCCTAGTTTATAGTTTAAGCAGAAGACATTTCCCCTTGGGGACAATAAAGCCAAGAAAACAGAACACCACATTAAATGTTCAACACATTAAGTGTACATACCTTTTAAAAATTAACTTTTAATTTAAAAAGGAAGAGGGTGAATAAAAATTTTAAATGAATTAGCACACTCTTAGTGTTCAGCAGCCAACACCGCTCATGGCAAAAGCTCTTTTTCAACATGCCAGTTTTTTTGCCTCATAAACTTGGCCAGCTCGGAATGAATGGGCAAGGGAGACTTCCAACAACCATTGCTGCTGAGCAGAAAGAAAGGTGAAGCTGGAGGCTACTTGCCTCCTCCCCAGGGGTAAGATGCAAGATAGTTTGGTTCACCTGGATCCTGGTGAATCAGACAAGCGTTTTAACAAGGTTTCTGGTGAAGACAGAGCCATCAGTCTTGAGCAGTGGCGTTCCCCTCGGCCTAGGTCAGAACCAAGTAGTAGCCTTCTGGATTCTGCACTGAAAGCAGTAAAAAGGCACCAATGGGATGAGTCAGGTCCTCAACCTCCAAGCAGCCTACAGTGTGTCTGGCACACCCAACTCATAAAACCCCACTTCACATCTACCTCTTCCTACCAACCCCACTTCACATCTACCTCTTCCTACCTACCCCCCGTGTATACATACGCCAAGCTGACCAACTCTGGCATGTGGAGGGGTGGAGGGCAAACATCTGAATAACCAGATGCCGAGCAGACTAGTCAGAAGTGCCGTAGGCCAGGTGATGTCCAGCAAGCACCTGTCCTGCCTTGTATCATGCGGGGGGCAGGTGGAAAAAAGTGAAGCCTTAGCTTCCCCTCTAATAAACTCCCTGACAACAGAAACTGGAGCATTTTTTACTTCATGAGAATGCATTTATTCAACCACATTTTCCCTAAGCAGTAAATGTCGTTTAGCTATACCTCCCCTTGACATAAAGTTGGCATTCACAGACGTTTGCCAGTTAATTGGGACACACCCACTTAACCCCCTTCAAAGAGCCTTTTTTCTTTTAAGACAGACTTGCTCTATTAGCCAGGCTGGAGTGCAATGGGGCAACCTCTGCCTCCTGGGTTCAAGCGATTCTCCTGCCTCAGCTTCCCATGTACCTGGAACCACAGACATGCGCCACGATGCCCAGCTAATTTTTTGGAAAGATGGAGTTTTGCCATGTTGGCCAGGCTGGTTTTGAACTCCTGATTTCAAGTGATCCATCTGCCTCAGCCTCACAAAGTGCTAGGATTACAGGCGTGAGCCACTGTGCCTGGTCCCCAAAGAGCATTTTAGTCTCATTTAGGAGACAGAATATACGCTCAGCACACTCCTATCACCCTTTATAGGGCTGGCCAGCCACACTCCTCTGCCTCTAAAATCCCTACCTTTTTCCACCACAGCCAGAAAGTATGATTCATCCTTAAAATTCTGGACCACCTATAAGAGAGAAGTGGGCACAAAGACAATTTTGTTCTTAGAGCCAAGGAGAACAAGCCATGCCATGAAAAAGAAAGCTGAATCTGAGGCCGGGCGCGGTGGCTCAAGCCTGTAATCCCAGCACTTTGGGAAGCCGAGGCGGGTGGATCACGAGGTCAAGAGATCGAGACCATCCTGGTCAACATGGTGAAACCCCGTCTCTACTAAAAATACAAAAAATTAGCTGGGCATGGTGGTGCGTGCCTGTAATCCCAGCTACTCAGGAGGCTGAGGCAGGAGAATTGCCTGAACCCAGGAGGCGGAGGTTGCGGTGAGCCGAGATCGCACCATTGCACTCCAGCCTGGGTAACAAGAGCGAAACTCCGTCTCAAAAAAAAAAAAAAAAGAAAGCTGAATCTGAGGCAGAAGTGTTAGCAAGGCCTCCATGGGGACTTGACAGGAAATGGCTGCCTTTTACCTGGTCACTGAGGAGAATGAGGATGCCCCCAGGGCCCTGGTGGAAAAGGCGATGGATCTAATTGGCTGGGAGGGCCAGGAGCTCAGCCAGTTTCCCCATCAGCTCTACAGCACTGAGTTCATCCAGAGAGATCTCTTGATAAAAGTCTTGGGGCATGGGCAACACAGAGGCAGGGGTCAGTGGGGGAAGAGGGTTCAGAGATGCACCCACAGGAAACCAGGGGTACCAGGAAGATGGCCATGGGTGGGGGAGAAGTAAAGAAGGAAAGAAGTCAGCCAGGTGTTGTGGCTCACACCTGTAATCCTAGCACTTTGGGAGGCTGAGGTGGGTGGATCACCTGAGGTCAGGAGTTCAAAACCAGCCTGGCCATCATGGTGAAACCCCATCTTAAAAAAAAAAAAAAGGAGGAAAGAAGTCTACTTCACCTCTCATCCCTCACCTTTTGGGAGGTGTCTGAGAGGAACCCCCAGTTTAAAGACATAGGACACCCACATATATATATATATATTTGAGATAGAGTCTCGCTCTGTCACCCAGGCTGGAGTGCAGGGGCACAATCTTGGCTTACTGCGCAACCTCCGCCTCCTGGGTTCAGGCAATTCTCCTGCCTCAACCTCCTCAGTAGCTGGGATTACAGGCACGCGCCACCATGCCCAGCTAATTTTTTGTATTTTTAGTAGAGACGGGGTTTCACCATGTTGACCAGGATGGTCTCAATCTCTTGACCTCGTGATCCACCCGCCTCGGCCTCCCAAAGTGCTGGGATTACAGGCGTGAGCCACCGCGCCCGGCCTCATTTCCTGTATTTTTAATAGACACGGGTTTCACTGGGTTAGCCAGGATAGTCTCGATCTCCTGACCTAGTAGTGATCCACCCGCCTTGGCCTCCCAAAGTGCTGGGATTACAGGTGTGAGCCACCACGCCAGCCTAGGACACCCACATGTTAATGACTGGGACTCAAGTGCATCACAAGATGATGTTCTAATTCCATATGCTAATGGAGTGACAGGTAAGGTAGGGGAGTAGAACATGGTAGAATAAACGCATGGAGACATTCTGGAAGGAGAGGGACTAATCTGGTCATAGAAGGTAGGGGAATGCCAAGAAGGGCATTCTGGGTCCCAGGAATGGTGGGGTATCACCCACCCCAGAAGAGATTTCAGGCAGCTACACCGAATTTCCTGTCTTCTGGAGAGAGGCCAGGACCTCACTTGAGTCAGGGTTCTTAGGAACCTCGCTCTCTTGCCTAGAGGCCTTCTGAGCCACATACAAAGTCAGTTGGTGATGGATGGGCCTGGGCCAGGAAAACAATCTATGTATCAGCCTTATACCTGAACTAACAGCTCCCACTTCTAGCCCCCATCCTAGGAGAGATCCTAGCCTCCTCCCAGGTCCCTAGGGAGGGAGGTCACTAAGCACTTCTTAGATATTTAATGAATGCTGGATACTAGGGGGAGAAAAAATGGGGGGAAAAAACCCACAAACATCTTTGTCCCCAGAAATGCCATGATGCAGGTGGGATGGCCACAGAAGGAGGAGGTCACAGGAGCCTAGCTTTTCACCCCAGCGCTGCCAGCCTTGGGTTGTGACCTCAGACTGGTCACTGTCCTTCTTGGGCCCGAGTTTCTTTTATAAAAGGAGGGAGTAGGACTAAGTGGTCTTTAAGTTGCCTTCTGGCTTAAACACTATATGAGCCAGGTGCAGTGCTCACACCTGTAATCCCAGCACTTTGGGAAGCCGAGGTGGGTGGATCACCTGAGATCAGGAGTTCAAGACCAACCTGGCCAACCTAGTGAAACCCTCTCTCTACTAAAAATACAAAAATTAGCTGGACATGGTGGCAGATGCCTGTAATCCCAGATACTCAGGAGGCTGAGGCAGGAGAATCACTTGAAGCTGAGGCAGAGGCTGCAGTGAGCCAAGATCACATCATTGCACTCCAGCCTGGGCACCAGGAGTGAAACTTCATATATATTAAAAAATAAATAAATAAATAAAAATGGTATGAAACACACCTACTAGCCAAGTTAATAAGGGCCACTACAGTGGGAAGGGGACCCTGGTTGGCTGTGCCCAGCACCTAGCTCTAAGAGTATTGAAAAGACGGATCCCATTAGCAGTCCCGCAGATCTGGATAAGGTCCTGGCATGTAAGCTTCAGCAGATCTGGGTCTGTAGAGTCAGACAGAGCCAGATTGGGGAAAGAGGCCTGGGATCAAGGGTGGGAAGCAAGGGACACAGTCTATTAGTCTACATATAGCCCTAGTGTGCTCAGACATGGGAGTTAGACTTGGATTCAAATCCCAGTTCTGCCACTTGTTAGCTGTGTGTCTTGGGCAAGTTATTTAACCTCTCTGGGCACTGTCATCAAGGAGTAGCGTATAAATTATATGGGATCATTCATGAGACGAGAGCCTGGCACAATGCTGGGCAACTCTTACGCTCCAATAAAGGTTAAAGGGCCACAATAAGCCAAGACAGAGGCAGGTTTCCTGCCTGAGTGTCCACCCACCCTCAGTCTCTACAGGTCTGGCTCTTGCCAGACACCAGCCTTACCAGTGAAGTTGGCCAGCATCTGGCAGTAGCTGGAGAACCGATGCTGATACAGCCACTGCTGTGTCTCTGAGATGGAGGCTCTGTGGTTCAGCTCCTGACGTATTAAATGGATGGTCCAGGTAATACCGGGACCCAGGGACAGAACAAGAAAGGGAAACAGCCCCTCCCTTGGGAGGTCCCAAGGCTGAGAGGGGAGGCTCCTCCTTGCCCCAGTCCTATCAGGTCAGTTACAATCTGTGGCCATACCACATCTGGCCACCAGGGGGCAGCGCCACCCCATTCTGGAGCGTGAGATGAACCTGCCGAGGCTTTGAGACCCTGGGGAGTGGGAAGGGGAAGGCTCACCTCAACGGGGCTATACCCCAAGGTGTCCAGAGCGAATGGCGGTGAGGAACAGAGCCTGTGAAGAAGAGCAAGAGTTCAGGGACTCTGTGGGGCAGTGCAGCCAGTCTCCCTCTGACAACACCCTTGGGACACAGAGCTTGCTCCCGTCGGCCCTCACCCCACACATTTCCTACCAATCCTCAGCCCTGCCCCTTGCCCCCATCCCTGTGCTGGGAGCTCTTTTCTTCACTCTCACCCCAAAGGGCTGACAGGAGGTGCTCATCCTGCCTCACCTCTCTGGGGACAGGAGCCTGCAGGAGTGGGGAGAGGTCAGAGCCAGAGAGCTGAGAGGTGGCGGGGGTTTTGCGGGGGGACTCCGGCCATGGCGAACACTGTGGGCAAACACACAGCAATGCAGGTCTTTGCTCTCTGCTCTCCACCTGTATATTAAGAGCTGACCAAGGCCCTGACAAGTGGACTGAGTTTCCATAGGAAGGAAGAGATTAACGAGCCGTTGGGCCTGGGGCAGTGGGGAAGGGCCAAGGAAGAGCTGGCCAGGAGGAGTGGCAGCAGGAGGAGGGGGCCAGGCAGAGGGAGCACACAAGGAAGGAGGTGGCGATGGGCCTGGGGCACGCAGGACAGGCAGCCTGGAGGGCATCAGCTCCTGGAAGCTTCAACAACCACAGACAGGGCGGAGAGTATCTTCTTCAGGAAGCAGTGGAGTCCCGGGAGCTGTGATGGGCCTGCAGCAGTCAGAGCCCTGGAGGCCCCCATTCCCCATCTGTACGGTGAGGATCTTTTTTCCAAGTCTCCCCTCCGGCTCTTGCCCCAACACACGCACCTCCAAGAAGACAGTGCTCTCGCAGGCGGTCTGATACTTGTCCCTCTCATGCATGGGCTCTTTCTCCAGCTTCCCACGGTCCGTTTTCAGTTTCTGGTCCTCACCTTTGGGCTGTAGGAGGATGAGGAAAGCCTCAGAAGCTCCTTTTTTTTTTTTAGATGGAGTCTCACGCCAGGCTGGAGTGCAGTGGCACAATCTCGGCTCACTGAAACCTCCATCTCTTGGGTTAAGCAATTCTCCTGCCTCAGCTTCCGGAGTAGCTGGATTACAGGCATATGCCACCATGCCCGGCTAACTTTTTGTATTTTAGTAGAGATGGGGTTTCACCATGTTGGCCAGGATGGTCTCAATTTCTTGACCTCGTGATCTGCCTGCCTCGGTCTCCCAAATTGCTGGGATTACAGGTGTGAGCCACCACACCCGGGCCAGAGGCTCCTTCTTTACCTGTCCGCCTCCCTTCAGTGGCTCTGTTGGGTTGGCTGTGATATGGAGACCAAGCTCCATCCCTCTGTGTACAGAAAAGGAAACAGTCCAAGAGGTGGGGCACAGCAGGCTGAGGGGCACAGCAACGTGGGACCAGAACCCACACAGCCGGTGAGGCCAGGTTGTCGACAGCCCTGTGAGGGAGGAAAACAGGCTGCATTGCTGCCTGTACCTTAAAAACCTTGATGAGGCAGCCAGCCGAGTGCAGGTGGTCCGGCGGAAGCCCCTTGTCACTAAGCCTGAAGGTGTCGATCAGGAGGCGGAAAGGGATGCCTTTCTCTCCACCTTTCTTTCGGGGTGTGAACTCTGTGCTGATGCAGTGAACCTGAGATGGAGAAGAAACAGAGAAAACGGGGTGACTTGAGTCCACCCACATGCAAGGGAGTCCACCCAAAGCCTGTTATCTGCTTGCCACCTGTCAGCCACTTACTACTATTGCAATTTTCCATCCCCAACCAGTGTCCATTCTATTTTTTTTTGAAACAGGGTCTTGCTCTGTTGCCCGCAAGTGGTGGCAATCTCGGCTCACTACAGCCTCCGCCTCTCAGGCTCCTGTGATCCTCCTGCCTCAGCCTCCAGAGTAGCTGGGATTACAGGACTTGTGCCTCCACGCTGTTATTTTTTGTATTTTTAGTAGAGATGGGGTTTCACCATGTTGACCAGGCTGGTCTCAAACTCCTGACTTCAGGTGAGCCGCCCACCTCAGCCTCCCAAAGTACTGGGATTACAGGCATGAGCCACCGCGCCCAGCCAGCTTCCATTCTTATTTTTTTTTTTTTTTGAGACGGAGTTTCGCTCTTGTTACCCAGGCTGGAGTGCAATGGCATGATCTCGGCTCACCGCAACCTCCGCCTCCTGGGTTCTGGCAATTCTCCTGCCTCAGCCTCCTGAGTAGCTGGGATTACAGGCACGCGCCACCATGCCCAGCTAATTTTTTGTAGTTTTAGAAGAGACGGGGTTTCACCATGTTGACCAGGATGGCCTCGATCTCTTGACCTCGTGATCCACCCGCCTTGGCCTCCTAAAGTGCTGGGATTACAGGCGTGAGCCACCGCGCCCGGCCCCAGCTTCCATTCTTAAAGCATCACTTTATTAGGTTCTTTCCCTTGGTCAACATCCTTCAGTGGCTCCCCATGGTTAAAAAACCAGAAGCAAAGTTCCTAACCCTGGCATTGGAGCACCGTAAAGAGTCGAGCCTTGCTGCACGGCTGCTCTTTCTCATCCGTCAGTGAACCCATTGACCCACCCTGCCCTGCTAATCAGGACCCCAACACACCTGAAGAGTTTTCACCAGAGGCCTCTACCCAGAAGGCTCCCTCTACTCACATCTGAGCCAAGATTTCTCCTTCAAGGGTAGAGTGGCCAGATAAAATACAGGATGTCCAGTAAAGTTTGAATCTCAGATAAACAACAAATAATTTTTAGTATAAGTGTATCTCAACTATTGCATGAAATAGACTAAAAAAAAAAAAGTCATTTATTTGTTTATTTTTAGATGGAGTTGCCCAGGCTGGAATGTAGTGGCACGATCTCGGCTCACTGCAACCACCACCTTCCTATTTTAAAAAATATTTAAAATTTAAATTTGGCTGGGCGTAGTGGCTCATGCCTATAATCCCAACACTTTGGGAGACTGAGGCAAGAGGATCGCTTCGGACCAGGAGTTTGCGGCCAGCCTGGACAACAGAGTGAGACCTCACCTCTACAGAGAATTTAAGAATTAGCTGGGCCTGGCGGCACATAACTGTAATCCCAGCTACTCAGGAGGCTGAGGCAGGAGGATTGCCTATACCCAGAGTTCCGGCTGCAGTGAGCTATGATGGCATCACTGCACTCCAGCCTGGGCAACAGAGTGAGACCTTCTATATAAAAATAATAATAATTTAAAATAATAATGCCAGGCAAAATGCCTCACACCAGTAATCCCAGCATTTTGGGAGGCCAAGAAGGGTAGATCACCTGAGGTCAGGAGTTCGAGACCAGTCTGGCCAACATGGTGAAACCCCATCTCTACTAAATATAGAAAAATCAGCCAGGCATGGTGGTGGTGCATCCCTGTAATCCTGGCAACTCAGGAGGCTGAGGCAGGAGAATCACTTGAAACCGGAAGGCGGAGGTTGCAGCCAGCCTAGATCATGCTACTGCACTTCAGTTTAGGCGACAAGAGTGGGACTCTTGTCGCAAATTAAAAAAAAAAGAGGTGGCAGTATTTTTCAATTATAAAGGGAAATGTATTCAATGTAGAAAAGTGTGGAAAACACTGAAAAAGTATAAAAAAGAATCTAGGCATCTCCCATCACCTCACCTCTCAGAGATAGCTACTATGAGCATTCAACCATTATTCCTATGTTCTCTGGGTAAGAGAAAAACATGTATGACATGTACACACACACACACACACACACACACACACTCTCTCTCTCTCTCTCTCTCTCTCTCTCTCTCTTTTAAAAACTACAAACAAAAATTTATTTTTTACTTTAATTTTTTTTTAAGACAGGGTCTCCCTCTGTCACCAAGGCTGGAGTGCAGTGGCACGATCACGACCACTACAGGTACAGGCTAATTTCTGTATTTTTTGTGGAGACTGGGGTCTCATTATGTTGCCCAAGCTGGTCTCAAACTCCTGGGCTCAAGCAATTCTCCTGCCTTGGCCTCCCAAAGTGCTGGGATTGCAGGCACGAGCCACTGCACCTGGCTGAAATAGAAATTTAAATCCAAATTTGGTCTACCTTTACTTTTAGGAAAGCAGTTTCCCCTGTCATTATTTTTCAGAGACATTATTTTTTTAATTTCTTATTTTTATTTATTTACTTATCTTGAGGCAATGACTCCTGTTAGTCAGGCTGGAGTGCAGTGATGCCTTCACAGCTCACTGCAGCCTTGACTTCCCGGGTTCAGGTGATCCTCTCACCTCAGCCTCCTGGGTATCTGGGACTACAGGTGCCTGCCATGACACCTGGCTAATTTTTCTTTTTTTTTTTTTTTT